TGTTGTGTGTTTGCATGTGTTGGATACCCTCTGCAGGATGGGGGGTGCAAGCTGTTGAAGATCTTGTTAAATTTTAATACGTTTGAAAAGGTGTGGTCTTGGTGTGCGAGAAAGTTGCTTGTGGTACTCTCCAAGAACGTGGTCCCACCACCAGACACATCCGCCGGAGCGAACTGCAAACAGCATCGTGCGTGTGCCAACTGGAATCCAAAAGCAAGTCGTGTCCAATGCTGAAACATTGAGTACCGCCAAGACCATTCTGAACATATGACGCGCTTTGGCCAAGAAGAAACACGCGGAAAGTTTCTGGATCCCCACATTCTAATTATTCCGTCTGCAGTGCGCAGAATATACCAATTCCTGCGAGTTGATCAGTGAGCAGTCGTTCTGTCATCAATCGCCAGGTTCATTCATTCAATCATGGCTGTGAAGTTGTGATTCAGAAGTGAATGAGTGCAGCTAATTGCAACCCAATGCCTTTATTTGTATTGTCGTGACTCTTCACGTTTGATTCTCAAACAGGGTTCCGAGTTCTCTATATAAAGGACATGAATTGGAAGGATCAGCTATGCCGCAAAGAACGGGCCGTCCGGAGCAAGGCAACGGAGGGTGCAGGAACAGTGTACCAATCGTTGCGACTTTCACCAGCAATGTCACCAGCGTGGCAAACGAATTTGGGGCAAACGAAGGGGTGAAGATCAAAGTACTTCTGGCTTCTAGTGCAAGGTAAAGCACAGCATCAAGCACACGGTCTGGTAACTGGTTTACCAGCTTTGACTCCTTGACTTGAAGGAAACAGACACTTCAAGTTTGGCTTTGGGAGCTTTCCCAAGCGCGAAGCAACATTTGGGACATGAACTCGGTGCCGGACCGGGTTTCCAATGAACTCGCTGCGTTTCTGTTTGCCAAGGGAGTTAGTTCTGCAGATTTTGTGTGGACCCGGTCAACAGTCGTGCACCCTTGAAGCATCAAGCCTAGATTGTGCAGAGCAGAGGTACAGCTACTTCTCCACAGTCAAACTGTTACATGTCGGTTCGGTTCAAAGCAGCGAACTGGTTGGGTCCAGACTTTGAGCCTTTGGGCTGAGAAGGGAGCTTCCAAGATCCAACGGCCACGGGTGAAAATCCATGTGGGGGGGTTGGTGTGCAAAGACAGACTGCGAACACAGACTGCGGCCAGCCTTGGCCATCACGACGACATCTCACGCTATGGTGGCGTGCCTGAAAAGTCGGAGAGTGGCAAGAGAAGCGTTTGGAACCATCAGCACTGAACTTAGAGTTGGTTCAAACGCCAGCATTTTCAAGAGTTGGTTAGACTCAGACATAAGTGCTCAAAGGAGCTTTGATCTGTGTTCTTGAGGCGAAGGAGCTCATGTGAGACGTTTGATGCTGATACGTTTCGTTCAAAGAGTCTTGGAGGTGCGGTTCATTTGCTATTCCATGATGGCAAGTGCCTGATACATCATCGCAGGTGATTCTGGAGGATGAGTGTTGTGTGGTACTTGTTGCGAGGGCAAGTGCCTGCGTACCCGAAGCCGAAGCCGTTTTGCGGGTCGAAGGTGGTGCGCTGAGCCCGATCAAGGTGAATGTTTTCCTGGTGGAAGAAGGCGGAGCTGTATTCTGGCAGACCTTCAGTTGGACATTAAAGTCAAACGCTTTTTGTGTGTTGCTGCCCTTGTTACACCAGCATTGCCGCTAGGGGTGCATGCAGCGTGGTCATCTCTAAGTCTGAATCTTGGATATCTCGGGATTGAACGGTTTGAACGGCTTCGGGCCTAAGACAATTCAGAACCTTCGGCATTCTTTGGCAACCCACATCGAATTCTTGGATCGAATTGTGTCTCTATGGTTTTCAGTCTTTGAGGTGCCAGATTTTGTGAAGATCTTGCCATGCACGACCTCCGCCTCTAGTGGAGGCACGACCTGCGACAGGTCGGAATGGACTCGGTATGTGGCCGCACACGTCGGTCGCTGCAGATCGTTTTGCATGTTGAGGTGACCGGTGACCGCGACAGATTTTGGCTGTGTAAGGCCTCCTATCGAATTCAAGCCGTTACACGCAGATTCCATGTTTTCCACGGAAGCCTTGGAAACTTCCGTCACAGGGCATATGGACGGAACATTGATGAGTGGAAGGAGCAAAAATCAATCAAGAGAAGGTTGGTAACACAAATCCTTGGTAAAACACGAGAGTTTCACAGTTGGTAAAACATTGTTGGTAAAATGTGAACAATCACAAGAAACTGTGTAGCTTTCCAAGTTTTTGCTCCTCCGTGTTTTTCACTGTTTTCGGTGCGTGATTTTGACGTGTTGCTTTGCAGGACGCGGGCCACTCTTTGGTGCTGTTCTCATCAGCTTCTGCACTCTTTGGTGCTCCAGGAGTCTGGGTTGAATCATTTAAATGATTTGCTGGATTGTCCTGTGAATCAAATCCAGTCTTGTACCAGGACAGCGACGAGGGACGCAGCAAATGGTCTTCCCTATCTATGCCTAAGATGCACCAGATCTTTTGCTGCAAGAATGAAGCGATGGCCTTGGTCAGCATTGCAAGCAACCATGATTTACACTCCCAGGAACAATCATTGAAGTGGATGTCATGGCGGATGGCCATGTTCCTCTACAATAAAGGTGGTTTCCATTTCCATGATGAGTTCAGGGAGTCTAGATGAGTGACAACCAACTATCTATCAACCAACCAATCAATCAATCAATCAAACTAACCTATCCTAACCGAATGGAATCGAATCTAATCTAATCTAATCCATCTATCTACCTATCTATCGACTTAGCTATCTATCAATCCATCTAAGAGGCAGATGATTTGGCACCGCCTCCCCGAGTTCAGGTCCCACGGAGCGAGTTTGCCGAAACGGTCGTCGCTTCGGCTAAACGCCTCGCAGACCGAGACGCTGCGGCATCCAATACGGTCGTGAGCTTGGAATTCAAAACGGTCTGTCTGCTGGTCTCTCACTGACAGAGCAGAGGAATGGTTTGCTGGTGGACTCTGAAGCCGGAACTGTGGGACCCAAGTTGCCCAGCTGGTTTGCACCTGAGGTCGTGGTTCAACCTCAGCCAGGCACTCTGGTGCTGCTCCTCAAGTCTTTACACTACACATTTTCTTACCATGTCATTATATTTTGAGTTGCTCAGCAAATCCAGTAATTCACTGGGGATTGAGGTTTCATTTCATTGTGATGTCAGTCTTTGTTCTATCGATGCAGAGCATACGGCAGAGTGCAACATATTGATGAATTGAGTGACTTCTTCTGCAACAAAGATGTCTGAGAACTAAAAATACTATAAGCTGCGTCTCTAAACATGTCTGTCTACTTGTCTACCTCTATCTCAAAAGGTTACCTTTATAAGTGATAGCAATTTTTCTGGCATGAAAGAGGATCGAATGCTATTAAGGACTATCAGAATCGTGTGTCAGGTTAGCGGACACTGGCCTGCTGCTTTCTTCATTAGGCTTTACCTGCGAGTTGAAGGCCATTGGTGTGAGTTAATTGATCTTCTAGTTGTTTGAGACTTTCATAGATGACATTGTTTATGCTTTTAGTTAGATATGTAATTACGTAGGTGACGAAGCAAGATGTTGTTGATTGTAATGCTACACAAATGCCATTCGTTGCGATGTGACAAAGTTGATTGTGTTCTCATGAGTAGCCAAATGTGCCGGATTGGCTAGAATAAACATGCAAAGTCTTCGCATCGGTGATGTGCATCGTTCCTCCGGTATGTGTGTCTTGCATGCTGCCTCCAGGAATAACGTGACCTTGTTATCGACTTTCCAAACCCGTGTTTCGACAGACTTTCAACTCACTGTATTCTTGCATTTCCAAAAGTTTCACAGTTCAGCCGGCCAAAGCCAGCGGCATTGCAATGAACTGAATGGTCGAGTTCCCTTTTGTTTAGCATCAACGAGGGTGCAAATTCCGATTCAACACTCCCTTAAAAGGTGTTCTTGAAACCTTCTTGAAACGCGCTCTAGAACTGCAATTTTGGGCAGCCTTTCTCAAAAAAAAGGTGGTTCTTTTGGCACAAACATACGGGGTCAAAGGTCTTGCCACCTGTGCATGTGCCAAGAACATCTCAGTGCCCTGCATGTGCCCTCTCATCTGCAAGCTGGGCCAGACTTCAAGCGGACAAATTGTGACTTCAACACAACTGCGATTTCAAACTTTGTAAATGAAAAGCGAGTCTTGGATTCCAGCGATTCCTCCACGGCAAACGGACGGCTCTGCAGCTTGATGCGCTCCGAAAGACCTCCTGTGCTACTTGGCTCGGCTTCAGTTTCGCTCCATCAAGTGCTATTACCTCCTGTCAAGCTAGGTCGTGGATGACGGATGGGTAACTTTGTGCTAGAAGTTGAACAATCCACATGGTGGCACAATGAAGATCCCGCCGACGGACCAACATGTGGTGAGTGTATTTTTTGCTAACTATATATTATATATCTATGTACTATATACTGCAATGCAACGAGGAAAGACTGGAATTCGTCTGAATTGGCACGTGTGGTTCGGAGCAAAAAAGGAGGGGCAACCATGGCTATGCCAGGCTATGCCAGTCTAATAAAAGGTTTTGTCCATTGTTTGAGCCACTTTTGAATGTAGATCCTCGGTGCGTATCCAGCCGCAGGGCATCCCAGCTGCCGCATCTGGAACATCTCCAGCGTGAGACTGAGAGGCGATGAATGGGATGAATGGGAGTCAGACCTCCTGAGGTTTGTGAAGCTTCATGAAGATGGAATAAGGCCAAGTGAAATCACTGAGTTCTCCATGTTTCGTTTCTTCGGTGATGTTTAAGTGGACTTTGGTGGACTTTGGACTTGTGGTCAATTCCATGGAGACTAGCATCACTAGCACTCATAGCCGTTCACACCTGCATTGACCATGAGAGCCAGTACACCCTGCCGCAGCAATCTGTTGCAAAGTTGGTTTCCAAATGTAAAGGTTTCGGCCATTTTCATGGCCAAGCACCTTCCGGTGCTCTCTATTTATGCCGTCCGTTGCCATCTATGCCTATGTCTTGGTGTATGCGTATGCCCTGCGATTAGAAGAGGATGTTGATACCTTGGACGGGCTTTGGGCAAATGAGTCGCACGCTTTCGGGCGAGATGACGACACGTTCAGGCGAGATGAGGCCAGCCCTGCGGGGAGCAATTGGAGTCCAGCATTGGTGGGCGAGCAGCTGTCTGCGGAGCAAGTGGAAGATGAACTGCACAAATTCTTGGAGATCAAGTGCAATAGGAGGTCTCACAATGAGTGGAAGAAGTGGCTCAAGGACAGCGATGGAACTTAAAAGTTGATCAATAAGAGAAGCTTTTTAATGCTTTCACATCATTGCGTGTCATCATATCATTGCGTGTCACATTCTATTTCGGGTCATTTTGGGTAAGGGTGGTTGCAGGTTGATGTTTTAGAGACTCAGTTGGCACTTGAAACTAGCAGTAGCTAGCACATGAGCTAGCGCTGTACTCCCATAGCACTTGCGTAGCACTCGCATAGCGCTTGCATAGCACTCGCATAGCGCTTGCGTAGCACTCGCATAGCTGGCAATTCGGACTGCCAGGCCTCGTGCATAAATGCGAGCCTTGTACAGGCAAGAGAGGGAAAGACAATGTGCTTAGACTTGAAGGGAATGCGAATGCATAAGAAGATCAACCTATTTATGTCGCACCTACCTATGATGTATGTTGCACAAGTATGTGTCACAAGTTTGTTTCGTTGTTGCTTGTTTTGGATGTATTTTCATTTGACGCAAATGGAGAAGTCGAAAGCGGAAATCGTTTACGTACAAGGATGGCTAGTCTCTTTGTTCAGGCGCATGTAGTTCCACAGCAAGAAAGCTCAGCAAGAAGGCTTACGAATACAGATGCCAAACATGAGGCTTGTTTTGATGACCTTCGGTTGACCGTTAAATCGGGACGTATTGCGGCAGGACATCGGCACAGAGAAGGCTGACAAGAAGAAGAAGAAGAAGTCGTTTGAGAAACATGCTGATTTCCTGAACATTGCTTGGAAGAGTCGGAAGTCCAACGAACCAGATGCCTGCAACCAACAGCTGGGTGGTTTGCTTGCGAACCTCACGAATGCTTGCAAGAAGAAAAAAGTCGAAGGCTTTAAGGGCAAGCAGAAGAGCTGTGGAGAAAGTGTTGAAGATATCTTCCTTCATGGAGAAACTCTGGTTCGGATTTTTCAGACGCCTGATAAAGACCATTTGAGAAAGCTAAAAATCCACGTGGGCAAACTGAAGCCAATGCAGCAAAGTTTGGAGTTTGTAAAGTTCTGGATCACAGACCTGACCACTGCGGAGAAAGCTGCGATCCTTTGGGCTGGATTTTGGACAGATGCACATTTGCATCACTTAGCAAATTTTGATTCAATAACATAATACATATTATGTCTATATATATATATAGCCTCTTGCTTGTGTTTCTTTTTCTTGAAGATACATGTTATTTTCTTAAAGATATTCATTCATTCATTCATTCAAGGTAGGCAGGGTCGGTGATGAAGAATTATTTGATGTGAGTCATTTCAGTCACACTCCCTGAAACTTGTGGCTCAAGCCAAAAGTGTGCTCACAAAAGGATGCAGCGACTTTGCAGGAGGTCCTTTTGCATATTTCTTTGCCCTTCTGGTGCCATGGAGGAGCATGCGGCAGAGCAGGACAAGCTCACCGATTGGTGCAAGCGGATGGGCATTGAATCTGCCAGTGACCTGGCCTTCTTTTTCACGTCCTATGACGAAGCCTTTGTGAGGCTGGACGTGCGGTGGCCAATGGGTGGGAGCTTGCGGGTCGCGAAAGCGAGCTGGGAGCGGGCTCCCTAGTGCGAGATCTTTTCAGGCGGGAGGCGGTGAGCCAATCACGCCAGCCTGAACCGGAACTCCATTCACTACTTGGTGCCAGGCCTCCCCATCTGGGTTCGGTGCCTCCCTACGTTCGTGCGCACCACTCGGGCAGAGTTACAGACCTTGAGTATTACCCTGACCCACGGTGAGCGCCATCAGCAGCTACATCTCGCCTTGACGGCCTTCCATGATGATTTGATGTGCTTTGTGACGCCATCCAGTGGCCAGCGCTGACGCGCCTCTGCTTGGAGCTCAACGAGCCAGCCCGCAGTGAGCTTCTGGTCAAAAGCGGCAATGTCTCTTGTGGTACCAGGCTTCCAGTATGCGTTTTATAGTCTATTCTTTGCAGCCATGTTTCGCTTTCAAGCTTTCAATTCGCTTTGTCCCGATCTTTCGTATTCATGTCCAGCTGGCCACTCCGGGGGACACCTTCACCGCCCTGTCCCATCAGTTCAACTTTGATCCTCGCACCAAGGACAAGATCATTGAACTGGGCATCCGCACCCTGGATGAGCTTCGCCACTATGCCCGTTCTGAATGAAAGGTCAAGCGCTTGTTTGCGTACCAGGGCGCCTGCCGGCTGCGCTTTGCTTTGGACCTTTTGCAGGGCTATGGTTAACGCCGAGCACGCGGTTGCCAGCCTACCTCCAGCCCTGTACGGCGGATGAGACGCTCATCCCCAATTCGGAATTGGAATCTCTCAAGGAGGCCTTCTACAAAGCGCCACCACTTCGTCCCGAGCCTCGCCAATTTCCCTCCGACCGTCTCCTGAGCAAGTTGAGCCGCCGGGCCGTCAGCTTTATGGTGTGGCAGTTGGAGGTCATGGACCTGTGGAGCGTCAGGTCCCGGCCCTTTCCTTCCAGCGTACGCACTCTCAGAAGCGTTGCAAGCTCATGGACAACCTTTCCTTGCAGGAGGACGACAGTGAAGAGGAGACTTCCAAGACCTGGTTGGCCTACATGATGAAGCTGGAGCTCCGGAGGGATTGGCCCGTTCCAGCTTGGACTTTATGTCAATTTGCCCAACGATGTCCGCCAGGCTCTTATTAACCGCATTGTGGACTCGGCGGTTTACTGCAGCACTTGAACGTGGAGGAGCGCGGACAGTGGTCGGCCCGTGCCTGGGCTGGCGTGTCCTTGGGATCCAGCAGGTCGTGCTGTCCCTGGTCCACAGCCTTCGTGATGGTACACCTTGCGCGCGGACTTCCAGAAGAACCGCTGCGCCGCGCAAGGCTTGAAAAGATGGCCGCTCTTCTGGGGGAGCGAGGCCGATCCCATGACACGTCTGAATACACCGATTTTCAGCGCTTCATGGATGAGCTAGCTCAGGTTGGTTGAGTCCCTTGCTGACGTGCAATGCAAACCAGTCTTTCTAGATGTGCTCAGCGGCGTTGACGCCCCTCTGGGGCTAAGGCCTTCCTTTGGTGCTGACGGGAAGTTGTCACTCCCATCAACATTGAGATTGACAAGGAACGGACGTGGCTGTTGCCGTGCTTCCTCAGGGTTGTGATCTCTGGAGCTATGAGTTGCGCCGCCAAATCCCGACCAGCCCTTCGGAGCGAGGAATTCGAACGTAGTCAGCAACGGGTTGATGCTGACAACTATTCCAGTGACTATTTACTTCACGCATGGGCCCAACGTCGCCAATTAGGCTGTCTTCGTGAGAGCCCTTTGCAGTCGTTGCGCTGGCGGGACCCCCGGTGAAATTTACGTCACCAACCACGGTACATGGCGTGACCTTGATTAGGATGCTTGTGTGTTCGGTGGCGCCCGGAAGAAATGCCAATGTTTCGACGCAACATCTCCGCGCAGGCAGATTTCCCACCGCTCCGACGCGGGCGCAGAATACACACCCAGTTTGGTCTTCACACTTGCCATAGCTTGTGCCGTGTGGGCGGTCGGTCACGATTCCACGCCTTCCGCCCATCTCCCTGGCCGGCTATCATCGGCCGCTTCTTCAGTTTGAGCCGTCTGGCAGGATTTGATGGATGTTTTGGGTTTTCATCTAGGGCTAACCCCTTCAGGACGATTTGGTCTACAAACTCTCATCGAGCACCACTCCCTCGGCGGAGAAACCATCAGGTCAATCGACGGGTTGTGTTGTTGGGGCCATGCCAGTACGATCTTGGAGGAAACCCCGGGCGCGGGGCCCTATGTCCTCATGTTAATTGGCATGGATTCCAGTGGGCTATGACGGAGGACCTTTTCGTGGATGAGTCCCGGTTTCTGCAACTACGCGCAAAACAATTACGAATGGCGTGGCGTGCCGCCATCTCCTTGCACGGGCGACAGCAGGCCGGAGCCGCGGCTGCTGATCCTCCTTTGTGTTGGGGAGGATCGACATTTTCAAGTGGCCCTCGAGCGAGAACTGGCCTTGGCTCCAAACAGTTCCGACCTCCTCGCCCGCGAGCCATTACAAAAGGTCGCAATAATATCATTGATTGGGCTGCCGATGCTTCTGATTATGTGCCAGTCTACAAAGCCCAACCCGCTGACTACGTTCACCGGTCAGCGGGTGCTGACAGACGCCTGGATTGAGGCCGATCGCGTCCTCCAGTCGTTGCGTTCATGCGAGTACGATGAGGCCATGGTGAAGAGGCTGGCAATGATGACGACCTACTTGGTTTCTGTGGACCTGCCTTGTCTTGGCCCCAACTATATGTGAGCAGCTCGACCAGTTCCGCTTGATTCGTCGCTTTTGCATCAAGCAGCCTTCGGGAAAACTTCGGGTCATCGACGACGCCGCAGACGGCAGCCGGAGTCACTGGACCAGAGGCACGATGCTAATAAACTAAAACTTTGTGTACCAGTATTCAGCTGGGGATCAATGTCCAGCTCCTGTAGCAAGCTATCCATCAATCCATCATCTCCTTCTGCAGCCACTCTTTCTTGCTGGCGGCATTTGCTCTGGGGGCGAGGACTTTCCCAATGCTTATCGGCGTGTGCCCATGAGCCCCGATCAGTCGGATCTTGCCGTGGTGGCCTACTACAAGCGCATCGCTGCAGACCCTCGTTTTTGCCGTTACTCCGGTTCTCCTTTTGTTCTACCCAATTCGGTCTGCTCCTTCAACCGTTTCCCAAGATTCTTCCAGGCTGCGTGTCGTCGCCTGGGTTTTTGTTTGGCCAGTATGTACTTCGACGGCTTGACCGTCCAGGACCTTGGTAGAATGAAAGGCCCGGCCCAACACTTCATTGCCAGTCTCGCTACTCACCTCGGCTCAATTCCAACCCGAGAAGCGCCAGGTGATGCAGAGTCAGTCGGACTTCCTCAGACTGATTCACGATGTTGGTGCTTGTGATTTGGGCCGCCCCGTTCTTTTTTGGGCACGAGAACGATTGTTGACCAAGGTCGGCGACCTTATGGACGAGGCTTCACAGACTGGTCGCTTGCCTCCAGGACTTGCAGCGAAACTGTTTGGATGCCTGAGCTGACGACCAGCGTGATGCTTATGCGGTTACCATTGAAAGCTCACTCTTTGATCTTTGGCCGGACCATCCCACAAAATCGCACAACTGGAGCTCTTGACGGTCTATGTTGGCTTCATCTACACTGCCAGTCAGGCACGCTCCTGCCAGGGGCTGTGATTTGTGGACAACATCGCTGCTTTGGTGAGGGGACGCAGCAATAACCCAGAGTTAGATGCAATGGCAGGAGCCATTCATGCATTATTATATGCTCTGCGCAGCGGCTGCTATTTCGAGTGGGTCCCATCCAAAGATAATCGGTCCGATGGCATTAGCCGCCAATTGGAGTTCATGGCAGGTAGTATCAGGCCCATGCCTTTCGCATCCATCAAGTACCAGTTCTCTTCATCCTCTTGCGCCTGCCTTGCCCCATCATCGGTCATGTCTTCAAATACTTCTGAGTGCTTTGGGTGTTCTTATAGTGCGTTGGAAGCGTATACCTTGGATAGGTACCTGCGGTACAAGCGGCATGGGCCACCGTGGCCGGGCCACACCAACCAAAGCACCTTCAGATTTGAATGATCTCAAACTTGCGAGAAAAATGCTTGTCCGAATCTCGATCTGAATGCCTACAACCAAATATACACTTATATTTTGCCTTTGTAGAGAGGGGTCATGCCAAGGCCTCCGACCCGGAAGGCCACAAGAGTCGGACTTCGAAAGAACGTCTGTTTGACTTCGCAGATCGAATAGAGACCCAGACGGTACACCCCTCCACTCACCTGGGGAGGATGGCAGAGGAGAATGGCAACTTGGCCAATTGCCAAAGCCCCATAGCCAACGATCTGAAGAGCAACATGTGGAGTTTTTTCAGTTTCTCCTTCGTTTACAGCATGAGGAAGAAGAACCAGGACATGGTCGTGGCCTTGGTGCACAAGGAAATGGATGGAGCACGGGCATTGAGCGAGTCCATCCTGTTCAACTACGAGGTGCCATCGCTGGGCGTTGCAGCTTGGGGACTGGGTTTTTGGTCTCCACAGGTGCTTCTCATTGATCTTTTGGGCACGTGCAGCCAAACGAGCCCGGCACTGCGGGAACAGTTATTCTCTCAGTTGCCCTCATGGTATGAAAGCGCCAAGAATATGGACGGTTTCCATGGATGGCACAAAAACACATATCCTCGGCGTTCAAGATTGTCCTGGACTTGCTTGGACTGTCCACATGCCAGCTGTCATTTGGACGAGCATCTTGCAAACCAAGTGAAGCAGCTACTGCAAGCCGCGTTGGATGTGATAAGAAGTTTTCGTTCGTTTTTGTTTTGCGCATTTTTGCGCGATTCTGTGGCACAGCGGGACGATTTGTTGAATGTGTTCTCATTGTTGGAAGGTCAAGCGCCAGCAAGATGACAAAGACACCAAGTTGATCGAAGCTGCTAAGGAAGGCAGGGCCCATGCAGTGGAGGATCTATTGGAGAATGGAGCCGAAGTAAACTGCCAGGACTTGGGTGTGATTGATGAACCACTTATGTATGTTTATATGATTGAGTCTTTGTTGGCTGTTGTGTGCTGTTGCATCTTGTTTTTTTTAAAGGTTCTTGTTTTGTTGTTTGAGTGTTTGCATCTTGATCAAAGTGAGGGCTTACACGGTAAGGGATGATACTTGTTGCTCTTCTCTCACCATTTGTTTGTCACGGCCAACTTAAAAATGCTTGGTTTTCCAATTCTAACCATCAATCTCTATGCCTTTCGCCGTCGTTTCTTTGTGCGTGTTTTTCATTTTTTCTCCCTCGGGGCACTCTCCTGTCTACAGGACAAGAAAGGCAACACACCTTTGTGGTACGCCGTGATCAACCGTCATGCGGTCATGGCCCAGTTGCTGTTGAAGCACGGTGCGTTCATCGATGCCATGAATGAGGGCGGCAAAACTCCACTTTGGGAGGCATTGACAGGAGGTGATGATGACTTGAAGCAGCTCATGAAGCAACTAGGCTTCACCAAGCAAAACTTCGGTGTAGAATAAAAGCCGCTTTGCTGACACCGACCTGCAAATCTTGCAGTCTTAAAAGATGAGCCCAGCGTGTTTCTGTTTCTGCTGTGATGTCCTGATGATGTCTCATGTTAGGAGGTGGAGGCATGATTCAGGTGAGCAACAGCCAATAAAGAGTGCTTGTGGTTGAGTTCCACTGTCCATGTTGGGGTTGTGAGGAAGAAGACCAGCTTTTACGAAGTGCTTTCACCTAGCCCAGCTGCTACGATCAGGCCTCGGTGGCTTGTATCTGAGATGACGGCCGGACAAAAATGTGCAGACGCGTGGCACAAGCCTACGCGCCTTCTGTTCAGACAATCTCGCTTCCAAAGGGGACTGATGAGATGCTGAAGGTGCTCGCTGCTCTGGGTGCCTTGCTCCTTGGTCCGTAAAGGCACCCAGATGAAGGCAGACTTTGTCGCAGCAAGGCGTGTCTAATTGGCCACATTCATTCTTTTCACTTCGCATCATTGGGCACAGCGGTTTTGGCAGTTCTGACTTTGCTCAGCGCAATGGAACCAACTTGGGGCACTTTTCTTTGAATCTGTTTAACCTTATGAGCAACCTTCAGCATGACAGTTGACACTTGGGATGCCTGTTCATGCACAAAGACAGAGAGACTCTTCTTCGCAGTGTATGGCTCAGCTGTTGCTGTGTGTTTGTGAGATATTTTCATTGCCTACAGGGATCGCCTTTCGGTGTCTGCAAGGCATTTCCTCGTGTCTTTCAATGGCAGGATGACAATCCGTGGTCGGATTCTGCTCCTAGTCTGGATTGGCAGCTTAGCATATCGCCCAGAGTATGACTTTCAGCATGCGCTCCAACCGTTGCAGGCCCAGAGTTCATTGTGATTCTGGATTTTTATCAGATCGTGTGTTGCGAACGAGACGATACTCAGATTCCAGTCTTAATTTCCATCCAATGTCTTGCAACAGTTCTTTTTTTCCCGAGGCTACTTGCCTTCGTATGTGTTTTGTGCTGCTTGTTCTATTTTGTTCGATGTCGGTTCTATGTGAGTGTGTTGGAAGTCCTCGCAAAATGCAATACTGCCTACCGTGCCTACTTTCCAATTTGTTTGTAGTGGTGGCCAGGCAGGAACAGGAGATGGCAAGTCGTCAGTGTCTCTACAGCAACGGGATGAAGATAATAATGCTTTGGCGACTGTGACTTGGCAACAGCGCTGGGAGTCATGTTCACCGGGTCCGTCTACTTCTTGTTAGATTCCTAAAGTGCATCAAAAAGGTAACAAGGAGGATCCTGCAAAAAGGAATTTCGATCAAGATCCCTCTTGCCATTCGATCCTTCTGTTCTCGGAGGTTTTTGGTTTTCAATTCGATGTTTGGTGGTTGGTGGGGTGTGGTGTCTTCGCCTCTTCGCCTCGCAAGAGTCGAAGCGACCGAGCTTTGAGGCGAAGCATGTGACGGATGCCTCCAAGGAGTGGAGGGGCTGTGCTGGAGTGGGGGAGTGGAATGAAAGATGTGAAAGAAAAACCAAGTGGAAAATAAGGTAAAAGACATGAGGAAAGACCAGAGACATGAGAAGAATGAAGAAGGACATGAAGAGATACCGATCAGGTCCTGAGAATTCACAGGAAGAGGTAAGAGAGCCATGATTGGAAAGATACAAACGGCGCATTCGTGAGAGGAAAGACGTCTGAATACACTATCGTGAAAGAGGGAAAGGAACTAAACGCATGTCCATAGCGTCCATGGTTTCTCCAGGATGCCGAACTTCCAGATGTTCATGCAAAAGAAAAAGAGGCACTCTGCTAGTTGTCTCTTGTTTCTCTGTTTGCTTCAAGTTGATGTACCGGTGTGTTCTCTAGTGTGGATTGAAGACGCAACATATTTTGTTGTTTGCTTGACAGATTGTACCTTCGCTCTTGTCTTGATTTGCTTACGTTGTTGTATAATATATGTGTGTTCTTTTTGTCTAATGTTATTATTGCATCATCTTTGCTTTGACTTTGTACTTCGTGTGTGCTACGGAGGCCATCGCGCAGCTCGCAAAGTTATGGGGATATGAACCCAAAAGCATACCTGAGTGCTGGAAAGCAAAGGAGACCCTGGAAATTCTGCATGTTGACAAAGGCTTCGATGTGACGTGCCAAAATGGATCCATCGTGATGATGGGAATCAAAAGAGCATCGCAAGCAAGAGCACAAGTGAGACTTTCAGATTTGAACGCTCCAATCCGTGACCTCCAGCGATTACGTGCGCTTGTGTTAGATGGCTCCCATATCACTGGACGCTTACAGGAGCTGAAGGATTGGGACCTCTTCGACCGCTTGGAGCGTTTGCACATGCGATGGTGCAACATTGATGGTGAGTTGAAGCACTTCAACAACTTCACAAACTTGAAGTACTTGAAGTTGTCTGGACACAAGATTCAGGGGTCTTTGGAACAGCTGGAGGAGGATTTCTGGAAAAACATCATCATCTTGGACTTGAGAAGCACTTCTGTGACTGGAGATGTATCTAGTGAAAATTTGAAGGCTTCGAAGTTGAAGGGCTTGTGGTTGCAGAATACCAACATCACAGGAGATGTCATGAACATTTTGTCGCAGAGTCCTGACATGAAGTACCTTCATCTCCAAAAAACCCAGGTGCACGGGTACATGGTCCATCCACGAGATTTCAAGAAAGACGTGAATCGAAGGCTTGTTCCAACTGCCAAGACTGAAGCTCAAGATTCGGAACTTCAGGAAGTTCTTGCAGGACAAAAGCTCTTGGAGTTGGTGCTTTACAACACCGCCGTCCAATTCGACATCAAGCCACCTTTTGACCAGGCTCCCTTCCCCGAGCTGGCCAAGTTGGATGTCACAGGGTGCAACCTCTCGATGGATGTGTGGGATTTCCTTTTTCCTTTTGCCAATACAAGCTATAAGTTGGCAGAGGTGAGAGCAGCAAAATGCGACCTGTACGGGACAGTGGAAGGAGTATTTGCAGCGAAGAATCGCCCCATGAGATGGCAAGTCAGTGTTCTTGACCTTTCGCAAAACAACATCACCAGGCTTTTGGGCAAGCCACGCCCTTGTTGGGTTGACCTCAGCAACAACAGCAACCTCAACGAGATCAATCCCGATTATTTCAAGGATACTACGTTTCTGGACATTCGAAATACATCCTACAATGGAGATGAAGAGGTAGGGGTGCATTTTCTTGTTTGAGCCACATGCTTGCACGGCTTTCAACGAAATCGCACTTTCTTTCACAGCAACGCTTTTTCTGTTTGAACCCAAATATACGGTTACTTTCTTTGCACATATATATATATATACACAGAAAGCCAGCCGATAGTCTAGGCTGGAGTTGTTGATGGGCGAACGAAGTGAGTATTAGGGGGTGTGGGGGCGAACCCAGAGCCTGGTGGGGGGCAGCAATAAATAGAGGCGATCCAAAAGCAGTGAACATGTATCGTTTTTAGGGTGTTGTGACTGTGATGCAAGTGATGTAATTGATGCCGAAGAGAGTGCATCATTAGCACCATGAGGGGCTCAGGAGGCTATTTAAAGAGTCTTCGCCCGACAGGAAAAAGTGGTTGGAGCTCCTTCAGGAAAGTGAGATGTGCGTCTCCCAACACTCTGCTTTGTAGTGGCTAATATGAGTGGAAAGGGACTGCAAGAAACGATGTTACCTGTTGAGGACAGGAGAGGGAACGGAATGCAGTAGGCAAGTTTGAGGTGCTTTGGGCACCCTTTTTTAATGGTGAAGAGGCCTGTTAACCAGACGCAAAAGGGCACCCCATATGGGGTGGGAGTTCATGTGGAGGACAGGCGTAGCGGGGGAGGACGTGATAGGAAAAGAGGTGGGGTCACGGCGTCCCCCCTTTCCGCCTAACTCCCTGGGATAGCTCTGAGGGGTGCCTTTTTGCATCCAGTCAGCAGCCCTCTTCACCACAACAAGGGGCACCCCAAACAACACAAAGCTTGCTCAACGGACCATCGCCTTCTTGCTTGTCACGGACTGCGTTCTGTTCCCTCTCCTGTCCTCAACGGATAGCATCCTTTCTGACGTTCCCTTCCACTCTTTTTAACCGCCAGAAAATGCTGATTGAGAGACGCACATCTCACTTTCCTGCTGTCCGACCTTTTTTCCTGTCACGTTGTTCCCTTCGCTCTCCTATTGTCTATAGAGGTGAAGTTCTCCCTGCTCCTCCTACCCACGAGAAGACAGAGCGCTGAACGACGCAACCAAAGGTCGGGAACTCAGCAGGAAAGTGATAAGTCCATCTGTAGGACACGAATAACAAATGGCAGGCAAGCGCCCCTCAGTTACTTAGCATAAAAGCGCCCCTTGAGCTAGAAGAAAAGGGCCCCCCCACCCCCCCACCTGTGAATGAGAGCGTGTCATATTGGCCCTATTGCGAGACTTCTCACCTTCGTCTTCTATTTCTACATGCCTGACAGCGGCTCCAGTGCGCTCTTGAATTCACCCCCCATAACCATATTGACGTCTTCTTACGGAGGCTCGCTTTCGTCCCCTGCTTTCTCAGGTATGTATAACATCTCTTTATATAGTATTACACATGTACCTAAACATGTAAGGACCCAACCTATTCATGTCCAGGCCAACTCTCATGTCAAGGTTTTGGATTCGAGACACCGGGATCATGTCGATGTCAGGCTCCTTGCCAACAGCTGAAGGAGCCAAGAATAGGTAGAAAGGTCGACCTTTCCCCTACCCCTGTTCGGAAGTTGCAGCCCATGGCTCTTTGCTATGCAGGCTGTGCTGCGAACCAAACATGTTCATTGGTTTACCTTCTTTGTTTTTTTAGTGGAGTGAGAGTAGATGGCACCACCCCCAGAGGTGGTTTACATGACCCCCTTCTGTCTAAGACATCTTGCGGTGCAAACGTGCCATCCAACCTCTGAAATCGCTAAACTGTCAAGTGAGTTTTTTTCGACGCGTGACGCGTTTTCTGCTTCCTCATCATTCATCATTGTTTGGTATCATTAATATGATTTCATCAATCATAATCAATCATCATTTGTCATCCTCATTCATCATCATTCATTTGTCCTCAGACAGCTGATGGCGGACAGTTGTGAATGGACAGCCGTCCCATCCTGAGGGGCCTTCGGCTGCGTGGAGGTCTGTGGATAGTTTCCGTTTTTTTTTTGCTCGGCGTTTTTGCTTCACACTAGATGCGAACATGTTGGAACACGCCCTTGTGACGCCCTGCTGGGGCTTGGTACTCTAAAACTCTTTGGACTCCGAGGTTGGCTCTGAAAACTGCGTCCAGGGTTCCCTTATTCATTCTTGTTTGCTTTCGAGATCTTTTTACCTGTTGGCCCGAGCCTGTTTGTTCGGCCCCGGTCTGAAGGGCCGAATAGCTTCAAGCTTCGAAGTGTCACGACGGGCACAGCTTGGAACCATGAATGTCAAAGGGTCTCGGCTCAATGTCGTGCTCATTCTACAGGTTTCTGTGGGTCAACTGCAGCAGTTGGGTGTAAAAAGAACTCCTCAACTGCTGCAGTTTGGACGAGGTTAGCCAGGGTGATTGGATGTTTCAGTGGCTCATGGCCCTGTGTAGGTGTAGCATTGGGATGTTTGGAGTGCTCGTGTTCGGCATGGGCTGCAAGTCGGAGCTTTCAGGTCGCTGTTCCAAGCTGTTGCCGTGGAAACTGCAGTGTGTGCTATGAGTCATACGCTATCAGTGCCAATTCTCCTTCTTGCCATTTGTTGTTGATGTCTTCCTAGAGAGGTTAAACCTCCTTTCGCTTATATATAAGGTGCCACCAGGTCTGTCAACGTCACTTGGTCGTGATAGAATCTGAGTTCGCTTCTTGTGATCGCTTCGGTCGGCTTGGCTTCTTGTGACTTTATGATGTCGTCTTGTGACCTGCTTCAGTCCGGAAACATTCAGACGTGATTGAGACTTATTTACTTGCTTCAGACTTCTTTCAGACTTGTTTACGTCAGTAGATCTGGCATCATGCTCACAGGTTTGATGCTCTTCTGACAAACATGGGGTGACCTATTTTTGCGCGACGAGTTTGGACAGGGTCGCCAAGTGCACGTTTCGCTGATACCGGGACCCACAACTTATAGATGTGCAGCAATCGTGTTCGTTAACATCGTTTTGCCATCATTATCGTCCAATCTTGCTTCATCTCATTTTCAATCTTTCATCTTTATTGACACAAACTTTTGCTGTCTCATTTTATTCCCCCCCGTTCTTGCCCATAGCGATTCAAGCATACTTCACCTACATGCTTTCCAGCCGCGGCGTTGTCCAGTTGTCAACGCCTTTTGAAGAACGTTTCCGTCAATCTTCACCTTGTTGTCTTGTTGTACAAATAAATCAATTTAGAGGCTGTTTCCCTGCATCTTTCTTTTTCTTCCTTCGAAACTTCAAGAAACTCTCTCGTGCAGCTCTACTGTTGATGAACTTTGGCCTGAAGCTTCAGTTTGACTTGAGACAGTAAGCCACTTGACTTGTTGCCGGTGATGCGAGGAGATCTGGAACTACATCGAGAAAGAGGAGTTGACCGGTGGACTGTGGAAATGCGCAGGCGTAAGGCCCAAGAAACCCAATGGAAATGGCATTTCCAGAGGACGTGTGCTGGTGACACCCGACACATTTGCTGCAAAAAGACTATGCAGCTGCATGAACAAAAACATGGTGAAGGTGGTGAAAGAAAAACCTTGCTGTGGATGTAAGAAAGGGATGGTGGCGCTTAATGTGAGCAACACCTCTGATTGGTGCTATTCCTGCTTTGGTCCAGGATGTGACCTCGAGACAACTTGTTTCACAGATGATGCAGATAAACAATGCGCAAATGGATACACAGGCTCGTTGTGCGCCTCTTGTAAACCAGGTTGGCGTTCCAAGGGTTTTGCCCAATGTGAGACATGCAAAAGCCAGGAAACACAGCCTCGCGCTCCGGTGATTTGCCTCGTGACAATGGGTGCATTGCTGCTGGCAGGACTTTCTTTATGGAAATATGTATGGCGCCCACCAGAAAGGAACACTGCAACAGAGCAGGGTAAACGGCTCTTGGAGTTGTTAGAGCAGCTCTTGCTTGTCTTGAGCTATTGTCAGCTTTTGTACGCCATCCTTTCCGTGCACTGGCGAGCATCAACAAATGAAGGTGAACAGAACGAGGGAGTGAAGTTCTCTATCGTGGAGTTGGTACTGTTTGATTTTGGATGGTTAGTGGATGTGCTTTCTGTTCAATGCCTACTTGGATACAAAGATGGCCGTAACTTCGAAGTGCTGGTGTCCATTTTTGCCTTGCCGGCGCTTGGTGTGGCTGCCTTGATTCTTGGTCTGTGCAAATGGCGTAGTCCATTTTATGGATTGAAGTATGCCATTGCCATCACATCCATCGCATTTCAAACCGCCATTCTGCGCACCATTGAGAACCAGTTCTTGTGCCAAGCGCGGAGCAAGATGGGATTCTTGTTGGAAGAGGGAGCCTTCTTACGCCCGAGGCCCTTCATTGCTTGCGGGGTCTCCAATGTCATAGATCCCCTCAGGTACCGGCTTTGTGCTGCTCTTGCCATCAACGGAGCCTTGATCCCCGGTGGCCTTTGCCTGCTGGGCGTTTACATCACTCGTCAGATCCAAGGAGTCCAAGGTCTTCTATCTTCGATCAACCCAGTGATTCAGTGTGACGCTTCCAACCCAGATACAGTGACTTTGCACTTTGCCACCGTCCAAGTTGCAGCTGAGAAGCTTCCTTTGAGCAGAGAAGACTTGGGAGTTTATGTGGATCTCCCAAGTCAAGCCATGTGGATCCATGCTGCGGCCTACGTGGTTTGCATCGCCGAGTCGATCGGCAGCACGCATTTGGAGGCTTGAATGTGGTTTGCTGCGGTTGAAGAAGAGTAGCCTTTGGGTCAAATTAGGCCAACCCCAAGGGTAGCTGTTGGGCCTCTGTGGACGCGCGACATACCATTTACACCTACTACAGTCTCATGTGTTTTGTCCCCGTTGGTCCACCAAAGGATGTGAGCAGCGGAAAAAAAGATTGGAACATCGCACTCTGAAAATGCTTCATGTAGTTGCCGGTGTCCGCCTGAAGAGACGCATGGTTGAAACAAAGCATCGCCCCTGAGGCATTTTTTTGGAGAAACTCGATCCAAGTAAACAGGAATGCCAGAGCCTTGCTCGTAGCTGTGCTGGTCGAGGCTGCAAACTAAACATGTTCTTACATGTGTTCCTTGTGTTCCTACAGGTGTGAATATCCTACGCAAGTATTCCCACATATGTAACATTCCTCGTATTTGAAGGGGCTCGAACCGTTTGATGGCCACTGAAGATTGTGACAGGGTTGGCGCTGTGCCAACAGGATGCAGAACAGCATCCTGGTAGTATGTTGGGGTAAAGTCCTCCAATTATATAGGAAGTCACTTGCGCCAGCAAGAGCACAAACAAAGGAGAGTGGAGATTTCATCACAAGTGCCAGGAGAAGCTGCAATGAAGTCATCACTGGCAGATCCCTTGTTTTTTTTGGTGCAACGAAGCACAAGATGGCACTCCAAAAAACATGTGTTGCAAAACAACTTGGCTCACCGTACGATAGACCCGATGACTCCTAAAGCTTTCGGAGTGAACTTTGGCAGTTCTGGCTATTTTTGTCATCGCTGCCCTGGCTTTGCTCTGGCTGCGCTTGCAAAGCGCAGTGCTTTGCTGGACTTGTCAACTTGTATTTATCATTTTTTGTGTTCTCCTTTCACTTCTCATATGTTTGTGGATGAGCAGATAAGAACAGTTTTCGGAGGTGGTCAATTGGTTTTCTCATGTTTTTGTGGCAAGAAAATATTGAGGAGCTCAAAACAATGGCATCAGGCGTTTTTTTTGAGGGGAACTGAGGTGCTCTTCTGAAGAGGATGCAGATGTGGGTTCCCCTGACAAGATCCACAATGCACAAGACATTAAAGAGGTTTCAGTCAACCACACATTCGAAGCAATCCTTTATCGCCCAAAAGTGCACGCAAACAGCAAACCTGGTCTTTCTTCAAGTAACGAGACGCAAGCAAGTCGCATGCTTGGAATCACGAACAACAGACTGCTTCGGCAAAGCATCTTCTTTCGTCGCGCTCACAACGAACGTCACCACTCCGCACCTCCGCCACCCCCACCCCGATCTGCGAAGCAAGTTGAGCCCGAAGCAGTATTTTGCGTTGCAATCACAACAAGGCAAATCACAGAGAAATCTTACATCTCTGATATAGCTCTGTCCCAGCCTCGCATCCACGCTACACAAAAACCATTAAACATAGTCAAACCCAAGGCATGCCATCAAGGAACAGCTTGGGCTACCCCTACCCCCTTGGAAAAAGAAGTGAGGCCTTAGCACATCTCACACCTGAAGATTATCTTTTCTACAAAAGCGATGTACAAAAAAAAAGGAATCGGAGAGGCAACTGGCAGGAAAACACGGGTTACATCAGCGAATGGAGCTCCTAAAGTGCCCTTGGTACACTCGAAACCGATGCCCACAGCTGAAACCAACTTCAAACTTCAATGCTGAAAAACATTTTGGATCAAGATGGACCAAGCGTTCCCAGCCTTTGTTTGAACACATTTTCCTCGCATCCTTGTGCGCGCGCCATATCCGGACAAAGACAGAGAGAGAGAGAGAGGGAGAGACATATGCGGTTGAAGCATGCAACGGAAGCATCTCTTCAAGTCATGTAACACATGTGCTTCTATTATATAGAATTGGGCAATACACTAATTATGTCCGAGAAATACGTAGTGATGGATGGTTTCTAAAGCACCAGTAGCTAACACGTAATTTTGTTTGCAACTTGGACCTTTGAAGTGCTCAAGCATATCGGTGCAAATTGCCTGAAATTGGCTTGGCTAATTGCTTGGAGGTTGTGGAGGCCGACTTCAGCACGAAGGTGCCAGAGGCGGAAGTGAAGAAAAAGTCTTTGGACGTCTTGAAATTGAAGTTGACAAAGGATGCCCACTTCAAGGCAGGGTGGAGCAAGGGGGTAGAGGAAGGGTGGTTGTCTCTGTGGGGCTGGACAAGGAAAACGCCGGTGATCCCATTGTTTTGTTTTCCATTATTCTCTGGTTGGATTGTATTTTTCTTCAGCCACATGTCGTCTATGGCAACATGTTTCAACTTGCACCCGCTCGATTTTGCCAGGAATTCAGCGGAAAGTCGCAACAGATTGTTCTGCAAGAAGCTCGAGCACATGCGCAGAGACTCAGCAACTCGGCAAACGAATGATCAGTCTGTGGAAGCAGAATACCACTGTGTTCCAAGCAGTTGGAACCAACCCCTGTCCGTGAGTTGGTACCGTCACCACGGTCCTTGGCCGCGTTGCGCTCTATTCGTCCTGTCTTGGCATCATATCCTGTCCTAGTCGAAAGCGCAGAAAAAGCAACCGCGTGGCCCTGTCCGTTTCATTGACAAGAACGAACAAGAACTCTATGCCGCAAGAAGACAGTTTTTCACAAAGACTGCCTGGCTTTCAAGTCTCCAAAGCTCCAATGCAATCCTCGCAATTTGACACAACTAATACCGGCCAACTTGCCCATCCATGACAGTCCACTTTCCTATGAAGTTTTTCGTTCAAAGCAATTTTTCAATCCATTTTTAGGATCCAATCTCTAAAGGAGTTGATCCTGAGAAACTCGAGTTTGGTGTTTGCAAAGCCCAAGCAACATCGACATAGCAAAGCATCTAGCACAAAGCGATATAGCAGAGCGACCTTGACATTGTTTTTCTGCAGTTTTTCGGTTGGCTTTATAGACGTTTCGTTTTGGCAATGTTTTTCACATGTTTGCATTTGTTTTTGTATTTCTTTGGTTTGCCTTTGGTGCATGTTCCACCTGCGAGGCAAGAGATTGCTGTACCGAGCCATTGCCAAGCGAGTGACAACTGGGCCTATTTGGGTTGGCGTCCGGAATTCCTTTCACCGATTTGCAGACAAGGCAGGGCAAGACCAGTGACTCCTTGACAGTGAGAAGTAGGCAGCGGAAGATTCTGATTTGTCCAAGATTTGAACTCATCCACTGCTTTTTGCAGTCATGTTCTCATGTTCCTGTTGTTGACTGTCACTTACTCAAGCTTTCGAAGGCCTTCGGGCGGTGGTAGTCAGCTCATTTGTTCGCGAAATCGCATGGTCCTGATGATGTTCAGTGCCAGGACCCTCTGATCTGCGAGGGTTTGCAGAAGTTTTTCTTGCTAGCTATGGCCCGAATGTGTGCTGGAGCAGAGGATCCCGTAGACCAAATGCATTGGATCGCGGCGGCCTTGGCCGCCACCACTTCCGGCATCGTCATCGCCAAGCCTTTTGGAAGCAAATCTCGTAATGATTTGGCCACCGTTTGCTTTGGAGCTTTGTCTTGCACGGCAGGGCTTCTTTGCATCAATGGTTTTTCAGTGCTCCAGTTCGTGCCCAGTGTGGTGGTTGCCCTGTTCTTTCTCCATTTGCAACTGATGCCCGGTGACATAATGCTACAGACCCACTGGCTTCAAGCAGAGATGAGAGAACAGCTGGGCGTCAGTGAAGATCAGCCTGACGAGATGAAAGACACCAAGGAGGACAACGAGAACGGGAAGACGAGAGACCACAAGGAGAGAATGCCCACAGAGTTGCCTCTTGAGCTGCCCCTGCAGACCAGCGAATGGAATGCCGGGTGTCCTGCGTGGTGCTCGGAACTCGTCATGCAGTATCGTGGCTTGACAAGGGCAGTATGGCACCGAAGAAGATCCTCCAGCCTGGCTCTACTCGACCCAGGAAATCATCCTGACTCAAGTGAGCAGGCTGAACGCATCCGAAACGGGCGTTCCTGAACCGGTCGGTTGGTAGCAACCGAAGGCCGCTTTGAGCATATCCAAAAGAGATTCTTCCTTGTGGCCGAAGTGTTTGCAAGCAGACATGAAAGTTGACATGCAGTTTGCATTAGAAGCTGATGTTCCCCATTCCCAAGAGCTGACCAAGATGCTTTGCAAACATGGTGTAAAGCAGGAAGCATTAGCAACATAGGGCGCACAGAACTTCGGAAGACAACTGAGCAATGAGCCAGGGATAAGTCAGAACAGGCTGAGTAAACAGGGAGAGGGAGGAAACCATAAACAAAATCAGCTGCCACAAGACTCATGGCTGCTCCTTTTCCCAGCTACTTCTCCAGATGCCTACATTTTGATGTCCTTCAGCTGGCAATGCTTCAAGCGCCAGGTGGAGCAATTTAACTAGATTGCTCACGATTGTTGTTCCTCTTAGCTGCAGCACCCCTCGCACTCGGGTCTGCGCTCCGCTGATCCTCCGACAAGGAATGCCACATGCCAAGCCCAATCGAGATATGTGCCTTTCAATCCCATAGCTGAAAAAAATGCATGATTTTATCTCCATTGAAAGACATGCCAACAGCACACATGGATGTGCCTTCTCACGGTTCTCGCCGCGGCGCTTTGGGGTCCCTGGCCCATCTGGTCTTTCCCGGAGAGTTGGAAGCAATGAAGCTTTTTAAACACATTTGGCTGGGGGGGGGGTCAAACCTGAAACTTTTGGCACCCTTGTAGGCTTGTACTCACTTGACCATGTAGTCTGCTAGTCTGTTCTGTTCATGTTCTACCCGGGCCCACCAGTTTTGACCCACAGCTATTTCAGTGAAATTACACCTTGCCTTGTGCTCCACAGTCTCATCAGTGTCCTGACATGCATGTTGGCATCACTGTCCTCCTGTGGTCCATTGTCAGCTCCATCAACACTGCACTGAAAGTGTCACTTGCCTCAGCAGCTGCCATCCTGTGCATTCAAGGAATCAATGCTTCTTCTTCGTCGTTGTCTTCAGACTTTGATTCCTCAAGTGTTGACATGAGGTCAGCGGCATGCTCAATGGTCCGTCTCGGCTGGCTGCTGCGGCTGCTGTCCACTACCGCTTGATGTCGTCCTGACTCCAGCTCAAATGTTTGAGGAAGAACTCAACCTTCAAGCAACACCAAAAGCGCCTGGTGTGAAGCCACGGGACCTGGGGCGGGACGGTGGGACCCATCCAAGAAATCACAAGGGCGCCGCGCAGGATCTCAATCACTCTCTGGCAGCAAACTCTGGCAATGACAGCCACTCTCCATCTTGTTGCCACGAGATGCAATCATCACAGCACCGCTGACACCCACCAGGCAATAGCTAGATGTGGCAGTGGGTCCTGGCACCCGGGTTGTCCCGTACTTTGAACTGAGTACTGTATTGATTTGCAAACTAATCTCAAGGCCAAAACCGACCATGGCTGGAAACCAGTTGCCTCTTTTTTTCCTTGCGCCGACAACTGCCATTGCTATGGACCAAGACATGTGAGCCTCAGAAGTTTGGTGATCCAGAGCTGCCCTTGACCGCCTGCAAGGTCAAGCGGCGGTTCCCAGGTCATGCAGCTGCCATGTGACATGTCTGACGCGGTCGCGCAGGCCCTGCAAAGTTCAAGCGGCCTTCTCAACCGTGTTTCGCTGACAGTGCTGCTTACCTCAGCGGCGTCCGGTCGCATGGGTCTTCGTTCACGGTTCCGACTCAGCGGCACGAAGGTGCGGCAAGGCCGCTCTTTCGGTTTGCGAAAGAAACACAGCTGGTTTGCATTTTACACAGGAGTGCATGACAAGAGACCCTGAAACAATGACTTCAACTTCATTGGAATCCATAACGCTTCCTGCAAATGCTTCCTGGCGACCTTTCTGCAAACTCAACTGACCTAGTGACTAGTGAAACCAACAAATCTATCAACCTTTTACCACATTTCTTCCAGCAGCAACTAGAATTGTGAGAATGCGATGGTATGACTTACTGAGAAAAGTTGTACGTGTCCAAGTGTCATAAAGACGCCGTTATGATGACGATGATGCTGTTGCTGCTGCTGCTGCTGCTGATGATGATGATGATGATTATATAGTGTTACTATACTAGTTATATATCATTATTGGCTTATATTATATATAACTATCATTATTATGTTGGTTAAAATATAATTAGTATTGGCATGGGCTTCAAGACGCTACAACAAATAACCAGCTGCACGCTGCCGACTATAGTCACCGAGTAAAGTCACTTGGACTTGTGATTTGTTCAAATTTAGAGTACACTAGCAGCACTAGCAGCCTTTCATAGCCGCATTTTGCCTGCCTGCAGGGCACCTTTCTGCAGCAATTTGGTACAAAGATGTACGCAATCTTAGTTGGCTTCCAAATGTGAAGATTTCAATTGCATGGCCACGTGCCGTCCGATCCTATCCATCTATGCCATCTACGCCTATGTCTTGGTGTATGCCATGCGGCTGGAAGAGGGAGCTGATGATCTAGATGCAGCGTCAGTGACAGGGGCAGGAATTTTCACAGGTTTCGGGCACAGAGATGCAGTGAACCACCTAAGTTCGACGCCTGCCTTGGTGGGTGAGCGATTTTCGGCTGAGCAGATGCAAGATCAACTCCTCGATATTTTGAACAAGAGTCAGTTGAGCCAGGCCTGGTGATGGACAATGTCCTTCAAACTTAAAGAAGATCAATGAACGATGCTGACATTCTTTTGCGATATATTTGATGTATATTATTTGTATATTTTGTATGTACATGTACATTGTACATTAATCGAACGCAAATCCAACCTTATAAGGGTTTTTCAATTGGTGTCGACTTCGTTGAGTGTCATCGCTTGGAGTCGACATTGCATGTGCGAAGAGCATCTTGGGCTTCGCAGCCCAAAAGAGCCACTGTGTACAAGTGTCGCATACTAAAAGACTTTGGCAGAATCTTTTAGAACCGTTTATATACGTTGTAAAACCATTTAAACACATTGTAAAACCATTCAGGGCAGAATCTTTCACATTGTAAACATTTTCCATTTGTGTCCAAAGTTTCAGCCCTGAATCCATTCTTTGCTTAGAGGTTTGAACAACTCCGAGGAGCTGGTTTGGGACGGAGCATGACCTTCTTCTAACAGGCTCTCACGTCGAATCATGCTTGCTCACTTCCAAAAGACTATTTCTGTCTCAGTTTTTCACTTCACCGAGACTTCACCAAGACTTGGAACACATATCTTCCAATTCTGATGTTGTTGAAAGTCAAAGCAAACACAAGCGTGCAAGAAATCACATATCAGCCCTTGGCCTTTTTTTGCGGAGCAGAAGCACTGCAAAACGCGCCACTGTGCACGTTCGTTACTGTGCACGTCCACTCTCCCACCAATGTTTGCCTTTTTTGCACCGAAGCAGAAGCCATGCAGCGGCCTCAAAAAACAACACAGTCACATACATCTCTGTGCTGTGCTTTTCTGTCACGCGGACCTGCATCCAGATGTTTCTCCGCTCAGTCCCTTGGCGCAGTCCAGTCCACAGAAGCTGAAACTGGCAACAAGATGCGATTCACTGATTCACCGATGGAATGATGAGATATAATCAGATTGCCTATGATTGCATATGATGGCATTGACACAATCAGCTGATATCACTGCTGATCAGTTGTTTTGTGAAAATACTTGGTGAGACTTGGAGGACTTGAAAGCCTTTTTGTTGGAACGAGCAGTTTTGTGCTCTTTGAACGCGAGTTTTGACGCTCCTTGCTTAGTATGTCCCAACATGTTGCTGAATGTTACATGCTCACTCCTTCCGTTTGTTTGTGACCCTGCCATTCTGGTTTTGCTCTGCTACTTGGTTTCAGCAGTTATGATTTGCTTCTTATGGAGTCTTCTTGCATCAAGCCAATCTGTGTCCAGAATATTAGGGCGGTTTGCTTCCAGCTCCAAAATCCTATTTGATAAGGCCCTCTGAGTCACTTGAGTCCTTGTAAATTGCCGACCTACCTTGGACTGCTTTTGGATGAACATGCACATAGTGGACCATAGTTGTGCGTACGAGCGGATGAGATCAACAATGTCAGGGCTGCAGGGGGCGGTGTGGCATAGTAAGTAATGCACCAGGTCGCATCGGTCAACCGCTGAGTGACCTCCCCGATGAGTGAATGGTCCCCGCACCGACCGCAGGAGATGATGCGTGAATTGCCCAAGCCCAGCTTCAAGGAACCGAAGCAGACGTACATCCATTTCCTGAACGAGGCCTTGCGAAAAACCTCGCAGACGTCTTCAGTGGCCAAGGCCAGTTCAGTGAAGGGCTCCAGACGCAAAAAAAAGGCCAAGGCCACTCCAGTGAAGCGCTCCAAACGTCTTGCACAGTCCTGCCGGAAGCAACTGGGCGGTTTGCTTGCAAACCTCATCAGCGCCTGTGAGGAGGTCCCAATGAAGTGGGATCACCTTGCAATTCCATATGGCTTGCCAGAGAAGAACTGCACTGAAAGTGCAAAAGATCTCTTTCTTCATGGACAGGATATGGTTCGGACACACCTGCAGGTGCTCAAACTTGAAGATGCCACTACAGAAACTGTAGCACTACTGCAAGGTTGGTACTTCTTGAAGCAGTGGATCATTCCGCTGGCCACTGGGGTGAAAGCTGCGATCCTGTGGGCTGGATTTTGGACGGATGCACACTCTACGCATTACACTCCCTGACATCATATTGGAAGTGGATGGCACCACCTGTTCGGTATTTTGGGACGTGGTCATCCAATAAGCCAAGCCAACCACTTTCATGATTATTGCAGGGAGCGTAGTAAGATGTTGACTTGAGCTTTTACCGCTCTCAATTTGATTAAAACTTAAAACATATTAAAGCTAGGAGTCTCCAAGCCTTCATATGGAACAAAATGGTAGAGATGAAATAGGATGACATGATCCAAATCCGACTCAGATTTGCCTAGTCCCCGCGACATGCCTTTGTAGAGCCGTGAAGAGTCCGTGCCAAGGCCTCCGATCCGGAAGGCCACAAGAGTCGAACCTCGAAAGAACGTCTCTTTGACTTCGCAGACCAAATTGAGACCCAGACGGTACACCCCTCCACTCAGCTGGGGACGATGGCAGAGGATAACGGCAATTTGGCCGATTGCCAAGGTCTTATAGCGAACGAGCTGAAGAGCAACATGTGGAGTTTTTTCAGTTTCTCCTTTGTCTTCGGCATGATGAGAAAGAACCAGGACATGGTCGTGGCCCTGGTGCACAAAGAAATGGATGGAGCACGGCCATTGAGTGAGTCCATCCTTTTCCAGTATGAGGTACCATCACTTGGCATGGTTGCTTGGCGAGAGTATTGGTCCCCACATGTGGTGCTCATCGACTTGTTGGGCACGTGCAAGCAAACAAGCCCGGCACTGCGGGCTCAATTATTCTCCAATGTGCCTGCAGGGTACCGCGACACACTAAACCTTTTCGGGCTGAAGGAGAATTGGACTGTGCAGGAGTACAGTCGGCGTTCCAGATTGTCTTGGACCTGTTTGGATTGTCCACATTCCAGCTGCCATTTGGACGAGCATCTTGCAAGACAAGTGAAGCAGCTACTAGAGGCAGCTTTGCATCTGACAAGAAAATTCTGCTCAGCTTGTTTGTCTGTCACAGTATAGCATAAGGAAGCACGTAGGTGGTAGTCGCAGTTGAGTCCCTTTGTTTTTGCTCGACATTTCTTGCTGCCTGAAGGCAGGGCGCGAGCAAGATCAGAAGGATACCAGGTTGATCAAGGCTGCTAAAGAAGGCAAAGCCTCTGCGGTGGAGGAGCTATTGAACACCGGAGCGCAAGCGAATTGCCAGGACCTGGTTGCGACTGACTGACCTTCTTTCCTTCCATATGTTTCTTTGAACGTTTTGATTGAAGCAATGCCAATTTACGGTTTTGTTTTGAAAGCATCGCATAGCTCTCCAATGATTTCCAGGAGCACGGTGGGGCAGACGACAAGGGTTTCAAGCATGGTTACAAGGGTGACACACCTCTCCACTTCGCTGCGCGGGAAGGCTATGATGCCACTGCCCTGGTGCTGCTAAACCATGGTGCCTCCGTAGATGCCACAAACGAAAAACTCAAAACTCCGCTCCACCTTGCTGCGAAGCGGGGTCATGCGGCTGTGGCGAAGATCCTACTGGGGCACCATGCTGATGTGGATGCCAAAGATCAAAGCGGCCGCGCTCCGCTCCACCTCGCTGCCGAGTCTGGTGATGTAGACATGGCCAAGCTCTTGCTGAAGCACCACGCCAAGGTGGATGTTGAGGAGCTTGAATTTGGTTGGACTCCGCTACACTTCGCCGCAAAGGGTGATCACCTGGCCATGGCAGTGCTGCTGCTGGAAGCAAATGCTAGCCTTCGATTGAAAGACAAGAATGGCGCTGATGCACTCAGCGTGGCCACTGTAAACCTTGCTTGGGCCACACAAGCACTGCTTTTTGAGATACAAGGTTCCCGGTTCCGCATTGCTGGGAAGATTGGTGAGGTGGCTGTGGCGGAGATCCTGCTGAAACGCTACCCCAATGCGCTCGACCTCGCTGCAATGTCGGGTCAAGTGGCTGTGGCAAAGTTGCTGCTGAAGCACCGCGCCGATGTGAATAGCACGATCAATGGCTTGACTGCGCTCCACAGCGCTGCAAAGGAGAATAAGGCAGACATGGTGGAGCTGCTGTTGCAGCATAATGCCAATGTGAACGCCCGGGATTTCTCCGGCGAAACTCCGCTTCACCAAGCTGCAGGCGTGAAGCATGTTTTGACATCCAAAGCTGGAAGATGCTGGAGGTGTTTACCTCCAAAGGTATGTCTAGCAGGGTTGAAGTGAGACTAGACATGCTTATTTTCTTTTCGAGAGGTGTGGAACCTGAAGCCTTTGTCAACACCTAAATAGGCACACTACCTGAAATAGTCATGGAATGGAGGGCGGAATGGATGGCATGGCCCCTTTGATGACCTTTTTCGTTTACATACAGGTGGTTCTTCACTTCCATGACTCGGAGTGTAAATACTATCACGCGATTTCTCACATCTTTTCCTCGATGACATGCGCGCAAGCGACATCATGCCTTTAGAGACGCGAGGACGCGCGGTAGCCCTGCAAAACTAGGTTGCAGCAAGGGCGGGCTGGTATGGTCTAGTGGCTATGACAAATCCGCCATGCTCTTGGACCCAGGTTCCATCCGCGGGTGCCACACTGGACCGGACAGCCAGGGCGTGGACCGTTAAAGCGCAACAAGTAGGTTGGAGCTGTCAGTAGATCTCTTCAGTGATGTGAGCCATTCATGCAGTCGAAAATTCTACTTCCAGCCCAAAGACAGCGCAAGCCACGCCTGGTGGAGGTAGGCCCATTCAAAGGGCAATTCCAGCCGCAGACCTTGAACAAAAGAATTCCAGTTCACCCCAAGCCACTTCCACTTCGTCCCAAGCGGGCACATTTCATACGCATGGAAAACGCATCAAACACGTGTCGTGTGGAAGCCGTCAGGCCGTCCTCAGGACCATGTCGTGTCGCCATACTCATTGAACCTAGTTGGCTCGCTGCAAAAAGACCGTGTAGCCGAGCAAAAAAGTCTTCTGCCATGTAGCCAGCAGGATGTCTCCTCCGTGTGAGCCTGATGGCCTGCATGGATTTCCCCCTGTCAGCAGAGTGAGGGCTCGATGGATCCGTGTTACCTTTTATTGGAACTTGGCTTCCTTCCGTCGGGAGCAACAAACATTTGGTGCTCGGTGGACTTATCAGTGCGCGACCCTTGGACTCATCACCCACGCGATGGAAAAACTCTTTTCCTTGATGTCAAAAGGGCGTTAAGTAGATCGTTTCATGAATACCGTTAAGTAGGTCCAACTCATGGTGTAGACTCTTTAAGAGCCACTTAGTGTTTGGAGGACAAGTGCCAGTTGACATGATACTGGCATACATACTATACTGACTTTGGGGGACTCTGTTGCGCTTGTTGGGTCGGTCAAACCGTTTGACCTGACCTGACGGCCCGACCCATCCCCGCTCGATGCGAAGTAAGCACTCTTTTTTGAGGTGGTCCCCCCGCCCCGCCGAGTCGCTCGATTCCATCGATTCGACTTTCTCATTTTTGAATGACGAACACACTTCGGCCTTCCGTCGTGCCAGCGGTCGCTCTCCTCGACTCCGCGATCGAAAACAGGCTGCGGCGCGGGCGTTCGCTCCGCTGGAGCCAGCTCAAGGGTGGTGGAGGTGGAGCTCCTGCTGAAAGCAAAGGCCGAGGTGAACCCCAGGGACCAAAGTCACCAGACACCTCTTTCTTGTGCGAAATCCACGGAGGTGGCCAAGGTGCTCAAAGATCACGGAGGCATGGAATAAAGAGAGGGTGAGAGGAGGGCTTGCATCGCACTGACGGGCTTGCATCGCACAGTTCAAAACAGGAGCCTCCCTGTTCCGAAATGCCGTTTGAAAAGCCGTTCGAAAAACAGTGAGGAGCTGTTTCGACGTTGCAGATCGGTTTACTTCAGCATGACAAAACAGCCACAAAACAGCTCTCAGAGAAGGTCTGAAGAGAACAGGATATGTCCTTCGTGCGCTATGAAAACCACAGCCGCACATCGCTTCGCCAACGGAGCTTTGGTTGCAATGAAATCATGAACTTCCCCAGAGAAGTTCTTGCCACCCTCATTGTTGTCGAACAACACGATCATCGTTCTTTTAGCGTTCCAAGGCGCGGTCAGCAAGATGACCAACGACAATGACAGTCACGCAATGCACCCCAATCATGTTGTCCTCCTTCAGAATCTCCTGGCTTGAAGAACTTTTGTGATGAACAAACAACCAGGTTACCTGGTCCAGGTACTGCATATCGTTTATTAGGGTCTTCGATGCTTGGCCATGGGCTTCAAAAACATGCTGCAAGGCTCCTGAAGGCCTGACGGTTGCAGGGCGTCGGCCGGACACAGCACCTGTGCTTTTGACACGAATGTGGTCGTCTTTCGAATGCAACCAGTCATTGTGCTGTGACCTTCCAACGCTTTCAAAGAGGAAGTGTTTCTAGTTTTAGCTTGGTGGCTATATCAAGCTTCGCCAATTAGATGAAACCTTAACATTCATGTCATTCCATATTGCTCACGGTATGTTCAGGACAATTGGGCACCAACTTGTCAGTTCGTGTGGTTTCTGGGTGCCCCCCCAAATCCCTTAGTTTACCAACCATCCAAACTGGGAGTTTCCAGCAGTTTGCTTGGTCCAGGTGTGCTTTGCTGGCGTTGGTGCCGTTGCCGCTGTGAAGGCACGAGGGATGCTGTCCTGTTGTATATACAGATGAAACTGCATTTGCCGCAAAGAAACTAGATTCTAGATGCAACTATCCCTGCAAACAGATGGTCTCAAATTCCCCATCTCCAGTCCATCCCCTCAACGTTTTGGAGGAATCTAACTATATACTGTAGTAGCTTTTGGGTTGTGGTTCAGCATCCAGCGCCCGCCTCTGATTTCTGCAACTTCAGAACAGCTGTGATAGGACTGATGACCACCCATTGGCTTGATTCAGTGTGCTTGCATGTGATTTCAGATAGAAGCTTCATCGGCTTAATAGACTCGACCAATGGCTGCATGGGAGCTTGTCAGAGAAGGGTTCCTAACAATCTGAACTTTCTGAAATGAGTGATTAGGGAAAAGGCTCAACCACAAAGTCAACCAAACATGCGCCGCTTCAAAAACCAAGCCGGAAGAGTTTGGACCTCCACTCTGCCTGGCTTGCTCGCTTTTTTCGTCCCAGGCGGTCTCTGCAGGGCCTGAGCCTCTGGAGTTCTGGTGCCAACGGCGGAAATTCCGCTTGCAACCGGGGCTCCAAGCGAAGGCGAGCGGTGAGTGGTAGTGGTTGTGGTTGCAGTCTCTTTCGATGAGAACATTGGTTTCGACTTTTATCAGGAAGAAAGAAGGAAGGAAAGAGAAAGCTTAGGGATAGTGTTTGGCGAATCCATTCTTTATTTAAGGGTCTTCAGTGGCACGCCCTCTAGAAGTTGAAGTGAAGTTGTCCAAGCTATTCGCAGAAACTGAGCCGAGACAGCCAAGCAGCTACAGCTGCAGACTTCGACAGAACTCGGCCGTAAAACTCGAGCATGTTCTTTCAACAGAGTTTCCACCGACGGCCATTTTTGCAGGGGTGTAGAGTCCCTTGGATTCCTGCAAAAAGTCCTTAGTTGTCTAATGACTCATTTAAGACTTCCGACCAAAAAACGGTCGCTCTGTCCCCGTTGGCCGAACCACTGCTCGTGGCTCGAAACCGGGCTCCGCTTAAACCGGCGCGGAGCCTTTCGCGGCACGACCGCGGACGTCAGACGTCGATGGACGTCGCGAAAGGTCCTCAGTGAATCGCCGGTCCTCGCTGTCCCCGGTCACCGGTCGTGAATCGCCGGGTGCCGGTCGAGGATGAGGAGAGGATCGCCCTTCAGATGCTGGCGGAGGTGTCAGGCGGGCTGCGGGAGGTGCTGGTACGGACACGTGGTGGTCAAGGAGGTGGTGGTCAAGACGAGCCTGCCATAGCCTGCCCTTGCTGTTTTTTCTTTTTTAAACGTTTTTGTCCCTTCATTGATCCACCGGATGTGGTAAAGTAGTTACTCTTCTGCCCTACATACTGAGATATCAAGCAAGGATCCTGGCAGCATGCTGATATCAGCATAGATGATGCACACACACAATCAGACGTATCATACTCTCGATCTCCTGCGATACTTTGCTGCATCCAATCTAGCAGTCACGACCGCCCACGACGCGACGATGTGTTTCTTCCACGTGCCGCTGGGATGAGGACTCTCACTGGCGCAGCTGCGGAGCGTCCTAAAGAGCACCTGGTCGGGCCTGGAGCTGCACGTGGAGGTGCACGCGCGCGCGCGCGAAGCGACGTCGCGCGTCACCAGGTGGGAAGGACTTTGGAGGTGTCGCACAGTCGCTCGATGCGTCCGTGCGGTTTGGGGGAAGGAGTTGGACCTGATTCTTTTTGACAACTGGTGGGAAATGACGTGAGAAACCCCACACGAGCTGAAAAAAGGGCGACCGGGTGGCTCTAGACGATGAGTCAGGGTCTTTGGAACATCTGCTGAGACTTCTAGATGACTTACTTCCCTGCTTGGGTAGGCTATAATGCATTTTGCCTCTGGGCTTTGTGCATATATGTAGTCATTTTGGCATCATGTGAGATTCTCTGGAAAGGGTATGTCGCAGAATGTGGAAGGACCCAAACAAAAGGCCATTATAGGCTGCCTTCCAGTGCCATCCTAGGCTTTTGCACTCACTGAAATAAACACTCATAAACACGGAAGTGGACAATTGCCTCTTGGATGACCGTTTTCCTTTACAAAAAGTTGCCTTTCCACATCTGTGCTTTTTTCAGGGAGTGTAATGTTTCTTTGGAAACGCATCCAACCGTTTACCATTCCCTCCAAGCGCGAAGGCCCTTGCTCGCACGCCTGACAAAGAAAGAAGGCACGCCTCCACTTTGTTCAACTCGTTGCGAACGTTGCAAGGTTTGGCGAACGGATTTGGCTCGACATGTGCTTTCCGGAGTGCGAATGGTTCTTTTTCCGAACTTGCAGAGTTTGGATACAGCTGAAGCGAACGGACAGCTGAAGCTGGATGGTTTCTTTTGGACCATGGTTTTCAAGCCTCTCATTGTCCAGAAGTTTCTGGGAGAAATCCGCCAGGCGCTTGGCTGAGCAATTGGTGCAACATGCAAGAGCTCAAGGGCTGCTGCCAGAGGTCACTTGGTTCGGCTCATGTCCTTGGCCTTTCACCTTTTGTGAGCTATATAAATATAGATGTGCTCATCATCTAAAGGATCTTCAATTGTTCAATATTGTTCACATCCTTTTTGTTCTGCTCTCATGTCTATCAAAAAGAATTTTGGGAAGGTCCTTTTTTGCTTCGTTTTTCTCGGGACGAACACGCTCGCATGTCTCAACGACGGCTTCACCGAACCCATTTGGTGTGTTGGCCCGGTTTCACGCCCGACGCCAACACCTCCGCCCTGCTGCTGCAGGGCACTTGCTGCCCCAAAACAATACGGATCGGTGTTCCCCTGGTTCCAAACCAACCCCTCGAAATGGTCATGACCGTCATGACCTAGAGAGATGGTCATGACCTACAGAAATGCTTCCTGTCCCCATCCTGCTACCATGCTACCATGCTACCGCGCTCCTTCTCCGCCCGCTTTGACGCCCAGGCCGCGCGGGTCGACAAGCTGGTGCAGTCCTCGCGGCCCAGGCGGCGCGGCCCGGGCGGCTTTTGGGAAGAGGGGAGGTCGAAGTGATATTTTTTCCCAAAGCAGTTTTGAGCTTTGTTTGTTTTCCCAAGCAGTTCCTAAACCCTAAACCCTAAACCCAGTTTTTGAGCTTCGTTCTCTTTTATCTCTCACCCCCAAAAAGACGGGGTTGAAGTAGAACATTTTTGGTAGATCAGATCTATATAACGCATTTTTTGGGATCGAGTTTTTTCATGGGACTGAGTAGCCAACTGAGCTGACTAGGGGGTTCGTCATCCGCCCATCGGTCTGTTACAGCAACACCGCCAGGATGCCCACTGAGTCACATTAGTTGGGTGGTGTGGCTCGTCCCATCCGGGGGCCTCGGATGTGACAGGGGCACCCCGACGTCCTCCAATCAGGCACCCAACTCCATGGCACTGGCCAAAGCATTCGGTTCAACCATGCCATGCGCTTTGTAACCAAAGACCTCCTCCTTCCGTTGGACGCCGCGGTCCGCGGACCGCCGGCCGGACCGAGGCCGGAGACGCGTCGCACGTATGGCGGGGAGACCTGAAGGGGTGGAGCTCCGTCTGGCCGGGCGACAGCGAGCGAAGGGCACCCACGAACGGCCGGGTGACAGGGGGCTGCTTAGCTTGGACGTTTGGACGTTTGGTTCGACAGTTGCGAAAGGAATCCTCAGGTCGTACTGTTTAAAGACAGTTGCATGGTGATGAACTCTCTTTCATTTCAACCTGGTTCCTTTTTTTCAGCATGTCTTCATTTCAGGGGACAACAAAAAGCAACGAAGATGTGGAGATGATCTGCCTCGCTTCTCCACCGCTTTACCGCGACGGTGGCGATGTGTGAGGTGTCGACGTGGGCGGCGATGCGCCACTTTACCTCGGGCGCCTGGGCGTTCGTCGTTCACCGGTGGAACGGTCCTTCGTCCACGTCGTCCGGTTGACCGGTAAAGCCGCCGCTGTGCGTCGTTTGGCGGGGAGCAGTCGAAGGTGGTGCGCGGAGCTGAGGTTGAGAAGAGATTGGCATGTTTTCCTTTCTATCTTCAACTCGCTCGGTGCGAGCAGTTATGTCATGTTGTTTCAAAGTCACCAGCATTGTATAATGCATCAAATCTGATTCGGGGAAGACCCAACCGAAAAGAGCTTGGTGGTCCCAAACCCGCCGCGAAGCTTCCTCTGACCGATGGGACGGACTGATCAACCCAGGTTTCCACACACGCCGAAGGTGTCGGGTTCAGCTGAGGATGGACGGCCTTCGCCTTGAAGAGCCGGAGGTCGAGCACGCGCTTTCACAACTCCGAGAGGAGGGGGTGGTGCTTCTGTGGGCGACTCAGGATGAGATGTTCCGAAGGGTGCAGGGCACATGGAACTCCAGGTCACTTGGGGTTGCGATGAGTCTTGGGGAGGGAGGGGAACGTTCAGCGAACGGCAGAGCCATTCTTGAAGGTCTCTAGGTATCTACTCCACTTGTTTCATCCTTGAACCAGGTCTCTACGAATTTGCTGGGGGTGGAAATGAGTGCCGTGCGCCCCTGGTCTCCCAGGTCAGGCAACACCTGCCATGCTGCTCACGCTGAGCTTCGCAAAGTCCTGCGCTTGCCGCCGTCCCACACACGTCCCGTGCGGGAGGTCCGGATGGGACAGATTTTTGGGTTGGTGGTGGGACCTTCTTTTTCCCCAATCATGCGAAGTCCAGCTCTTCGACGCTGTTTCGTGCTGTTTGAATGCTGCTGGATGCTGTTCTTGATGCTTATTTGTTCCCCACCTGCCAGGTGAGGGTTGTTAGATTTTATGTTAGCTGACTTCTCCTTCTCCTCCTCCTCCTTCTTCTTCTCCTCCTCGCCGGACCTCAACCACGACCATCCACGCCCAGTGTTCCCTGCCGGAC